CGCCTCCAAGCAAGAAAAAATAGGCACTGAAATCCGCCGCAGAAAATGGAAATGGATCGGCCATACTCTAAAAGAAAAGATCGGTAACATAGCTCGCATGGCTATGGAATACAATCCGCAAGGAAAGCGCAAAAGAGGGAGACCTGCCATGTCTTGGAGGAGAACAATAGATAATGAAATTAAATCTATTGGAAAATGCTGGGCAGAAATAAAAACGATTGCCCAAAATAGAGTAAGATGAAGGAGACTCGTAGACGTCCTATGCTCCACATAAAGGAGATAAAAGGAGTGATGATGATGAATAATGGAGTTGACAATAATAATGAGGATTTTAAGCCTTTTTCTTTTCTTTTAATAAATTAATTAATTATAGGGAGGTTCATATAAATCCAACAGAATTTAATCTCAGCCATCCGTTTTCTTCTTTAAATAATTTACGAAATAAATGGTTTTATAATCTGTCGTCTATTAATATTCCTAAGCAAATTCAATGCTTATTACAACTAGGTGAAACTTTTTCACTTCCTTTTTTGGACAAAAGAAAAACTATATTCGAATTTATTAAAAATTGGGAAAATAATATTAGTAGATTAGAGACAAGATTTCATAAAATTTTCAGAAATAAAGGAGTTCAATTTAGCAATAAATTATTTTCATTCTCACACGCAAGAATAAATAAACAATTATTTGACAGACTTAATTGGCTAAGGAAAAGAACTAACAATTTTTTAAGAAAAAACAAGAACTTAATATTAACCAAGGCTGATAAAGGCAATGTAACTGTGGCGCTTAATAAAGAATTTTATATAGAGAAAGTCAATGAAATGCTTAGTGATGTCAATACGTACATCAAAATTCATAAAGATCCCACTAATAAAATGTTAAACAATCTAAAGAAATTAATTACAAAATGGAAGAATAATAAATATATCACGGAGGATTGTTATAAACGTCTTAGATGCAATGAGGGAACGCTTCCTAGAAGTTATGGCTTACCCAAGGTGCATAAACCTGGATGCCCTTTCAGAATTATAGTTTCATCTATTGGAAGTCCTTTTCATTCATTTGCCACATTTTTGCATAAACTAATTATTAATAGAATACCAAGATCTCTTAGTCATATTAATAACAGTTTTGAATTGGTGAAGAAATTATCTAACACACGGATTGAAGAAGGTTACATCTTAATTTCTCTAGATGTGATCTCATTATTCACGAATATTCCTTGTGAGGCAGCGTTAGAATCGATTTCTAATAGATGGAATTATTTATCAATTAATTGTTCAATTCCTAAAACCGAATTTATAGAAGCTGTTAAATTGATTCTTGAATCAACTTTTTTTATTTTTTACGGTCAGGTTTATAAACAGAGTTATGGGACACCTATGGGTTCGCCTCTATCTCTAGTTTTAGCCGATTTAGTCATGCAGGACCTTGAGAGGGAGGTGTTGGGCACATTTGATTTCCACATTCCGTTTTATTTTAGATATGTTGATGACATTGTCTTGGCGGTACCCAGGGAACAAATAAATACGATTCTACAAAGATTCAATAGCTTTCACCCAAGGTTACAATTCACCATTGAAATAGGTGGTGACAGTATCAATTTCCTGGATACCACCATGATAATAAAAGATAATTTTATAAGATTTGACTGGTTTCAAAAACCTACTTATTCGGGCAGAATGTTGAATTTTTGGTCTCAACACCCCCTTTCTCAAAAAATAAGTGTCATTTATGGATTGGTTGATAAGGCGTTTTTATTATCACATGCCGAATTTCATAAGAAAAATTTTAAATTTATTATTGATATTTTAACACTAAATGACTATCCATTGGACTTTGTTTTTGAAAAAGTTAAGAAAAGAATTCATGCAATTATGAATAGACCATTACAACCTAAAGTTGTTAACAATAATATTAGAAAGGATAAGACTAGATGGTTTACCATCCCTTATGTTAAGGGAATTTCTGACAGGTTCAAAAGCATTGTCAATGGAACAAATGACAGAATTGCATTCTTCAGTTTCAATAAATTAACTAATTTTATTAGAGTTCAGAAAGACCCCCTTCCACATACAACGAAAAAGAACATTGTATACGAAATTCAATGTAGTGATTGTGATGCTACTTATGTTGGTCAGACAAAGAGAATGTTAAAAACGAGAGTAAACGAACACCGTAGTCATATACGGAGAAATACATCCTCCAGATCTGTTATTACTGACCACAGGTTGCAGCATAATCATGATTTTGAATGGAATAATGTGAAAATTATGGATAGTGAGAATTTTTACCATAAGCGATTGATATCGGAAATGCTTTATATTAAATCTCAAAATAATGGTCTGAATTTAAAAACTGACACAGAAGGTCTTGATCAGGCATACGCGGATATTTTAGATAAATTGTCAACATCAATTTGACCTAAGGCCTTCTCTTTTTGTTGTCGTTTAATTTAACGGTTCCTCATTGTATCGTCTTTTATTGTTGAATACGGACATATATGTATTACAATCAGTCTTTCTAGTATGATTAAATTGTGAATTTAATTATGAAATAATGTTTTTGTCTACCAATAGATGTGAGTGTTTAAGGATTTTAGTAACTTTTTGTAATGTAATAATTTGATTCTAATAGAATTTTTTTTGTCAACGGTCTTTTTCACAGACATATTTTTGATTTTTCATTACACAACTCCACATCCATTATTATCGACGATGAATTTACCTCTAGTTGGTGCACAGGAACATTTTGTCGTTTAACAAAAATTGATTCTACTACTTGCATTCTAACTCGGAGTAAATGGAGTAATAGTTTATTATTATTTCGTCGCTGAAGATGGTCTAAATTGCAGACCAAAACGTTCGACGGGACATCTTAATGTTATTTTGTAAGATTATTAAAATTTTTTCGCATTGTTAACTGCGTTTGACTCTTTAT